TCCAAAAAAAAAATCTGTAACGAAGGTACAATTTTTTAAAGAATGAACGTTTTTTCTTTCTCCTAAAAAATGCTGTTTTCAGGGCAGTAGAACCGCTTGCCGATGAAATAAACCCTGCCCTGCGTGTCAGAGTCAGAGTCTTCCTTTGCTGAGTGGGATACAACACCCCACCAGACAGACGGGGCTGCTCCATAAAATAGCTTCCCTCCCAAGAGATCTGAACTCACGTTACAACAATAACGTCCAACTCTCCACCGGCATGTGCTATGAAGCAAGGGCCAGGGTGAGTGCTTCATGCTTAATTCGTGCTTATTTCCATTTGTTCCCATACACAGAATTGTCCTCACTTCTTCAATCAGGTCTTGATTCCTCTCTAGCCCAACTTCTCTCAGTGGACATAACATTTCCAGTAGATATAACAATATTTCCATGAACACCACAAGAAACCAACTTGGTCATCTTCTATAAAAACAAAATTTTAAGCAGATAAGTTATGCACATAAACATATAACAACAATAATATAATCATTATAAGAGAGAGAGATATATATATACGCACATCATATATTTACACGTCAGTAATAACAATAATAAAAGACGTAAAAAAACAAAAGCGGAACCAATTATGAATCCAAACAGCCATCATGACAAGCCTGTACAGAGCGAAGTTAGTGAGAGAGAGAGTGTGGTGAGCATGGGGGACACACAGCACTATCTACAAGTACAAGACATCGGGTCACTTCGAGCTGGTCTTGGTCGACCAGTAGTCAAGTAGAACATTGATTGAACAAACATTAACAAAGAATATTATTATATCTTAACAAATATAACCCCAAATTTTTTTTTTTTACAGGAAAAATAAGTCCAACAAACTTGCACACTTTTTACAATTATTTTTCCATGTCTCCGATCTTTTAGGGTAATCTTACCAGCAGCTGTATGATCACAACAAGAAAATAACACACGAGTGCTTACCCATGCACACTTAAACACACATAATTACAAACACATGGGAAAAAAACCTTCTCAAACTGCAAGAACAAAAAACCTTCGTCCCATACGTTAGTAAACGCACATAAGTCACTTTCACAAAACTATGGTACACAAACCTGGTTCTCAAACCTGCTCCACGCGCATTTAACATAAGCTGTGAGCAAGCTTCGGGAAAATGTTACATCAGTGACCCCATTTGTCCACACACGAGCTTCTGTCCTGGGTTTCCCCAACACCAATCAGTTGCGACATTATACAGGTTTACTGCCCCTTATCTGTAAGATAATTGAAGAGATGAGACCTCCAAATGTTTTTAACATTCATCTCCAACAGGATCTAGCAAGAGGGAAATAATGTTAAAAATGGTATGCTGATAGAAAAGATCTCGAAAAAAAAAAATAGTTTCATGAAACGTAGAACACCTAAAGTCACAGAAATGAGAAGACAAAGCACACATAAATGCAGATGGGACAGGACACACTCCACAGCTGTGTCTGATCTAATGCATGTGTCTCTATCTTCCTGTGTAAAAACTTCTGTCCTCAGAGGTTGGATTCATAAAATCTATGTATTGTCACAAGCATATCATACCATAGGAAATGGAAACTTAAAAATTAAAAAACAAACAAAAACAACTTTAAATACCACATGATAGTTGTGAATTCTGACGTCTTGGATATCCGACTTCTGATATCTGACTTCTGTTTTTTCACTGCTGTTTTCTGACTTTTTACATCTGATTCCAGCTGTCTGATTTCCAAATATCCCACTCCTGTTATCCCAATTGTGTGTTTCGAGTTTTCCGAACTGCTGGCAAAAATCTTTGGCAAGTGTGTCTGCCAAATGCGTTATTGAAGGAGGACACTATGCTGAGCCTGGTGTCGCAGCCTGTACAGATCAGTAACGCTCCGTCCTTTTGCTAAGTGTGGCTCCTATGACTTTTAGGTCTGTGCTGAACTGGCCGCCTCTGTACTGATAGTTACAAGTATCCACAGAGATTGACCGTTACAGTCACTGACTTGACTGACTTGAAGCATGGCCAAAACCGTCGCCTGCTCCAGAATGTTCCCACACTTAAAAGATCAACAACAGGTGAGACAGTGCAGCACCCACATAAAGGGCAGATGATCAGTGAGTGTAGCAAGCCAGCTCATGATGTAAAGGGTTAACCAATCTGAGGAGAGAATACAAATATGACATTGTGCCAGCATAGACTCTGTAACTGGCTACTCCTGTACTTCCCTTTCTGTATGTGGATGTTGCATGGAATTCCACACTGCAAGCACAGCACATTGCGAGCCATTCCCCGTTGAAAAAATCCCAACATACTTGTGCACATTACTGCATCATCAGAGCTACGGTTACCATTACCAACACACATCATCACCACACACACATCATCACCACACACACATCATCAGCACACACACAACACACCGAAGAAAGAACACATTTGATGCTAAGCCTACACACCACCAGCACAGCCTATACAATGCATCTGGCTGACACATCTGGCTGCGTGTCAGCACACGCCAGCACGGGTCAGCAGGAGCTTGTCTTGAAGCCTGCCACTTCCTTCTGCCCCGCCACACCGTTGCACGAGGACGACCCTCGGCGGCCCTCCCTCTCCTGGGCCGCTCGGCCCTTCAGCTCTGCCAAAGCCTGGAGCAGCTTGTTGTTGGCTTGGTCCAAGGTTCGGATCCTCTGCTCCTGCACCTCGATGACCTGTTGTTTGTGTTCTACTGCCGTGGACATCTCCGAATGCTCTCGCTTGAGTTCTTCCTCGATAGACTGCAGTCTGAGGAAGGGAGAGACACATCTGACATAGGGAAATCTGAATGAAATATATGGAATAGATGGGTAAAGAAAACAAGAAAACGGAGAAAGACTGCAGTTTGAGGAGGAGAGAGACCAGAGACAGAACTGAAATTGGGGAAATCGGAACAAAATACTGATAGGAAAATGGAGAAAAACTGCAGTTTGAGGAGGGGAGAGTAACAACTGACATTAGGGAAATTTGAATGAAGTACATGGTATAGACTGATATCACAGATAGAGAAATGAAAGGAGACTGAAGAAAGACTACTTTGGGGAGGAAGTAGAGACAATACACAGAGTAGAAACATCTGAAAGCAGTGTGAAACAAGGGTTTTATGGCACTTGCAACACAATTACGGCATATAAGAGTCAAGAGAGTAACAAACAAAAAAAAATAGAAGGAGGAGCGATAAGCATGATAGATGTTTGGTAGGAGAGAAGGGGCAAACCTCGCCAGAGCACCCACCAACAACAGATTGAGAAATGGAAGAGTAGGATGACAAAGGAGAAGACTCCAGTTTGAAGCAGATTTCAGTTCCACCTTTCCCTCCTAAAAATATACAAAGAGCCCTCTTCCAAAAACCAACAATGTCAAAAGCAAATAAAATCATTAGTGGTCTCCAGACAACTGACGAGACCAGACTGTGTAGTCTCCTCACAAAACACTGATCACAACATCTTGCTGACTATTTACCAAACTATGCTACCACCCTCCTTCTCCTTCCCTCCACCCATCACCCACACATTCTCCACCCATCTCCCTCCTCACTGTGTGATAATTGTCTTCATCACTCTATCCTTCTCCTTCCCTCCATCAAACTCCCTCCTCTCCCCTCACCATTTGATAACTTATTTCCATCTATTCAACCTCCTCCTTCCCTCCACAAAAAATAATAATAGTAATAATAATAATAATAATAATAATAATAAAAACAATAATAGTTATAATAATAATATTAACAATAATAATTGCATTGATATATATCTATCCCGTACAAGCTCTCTCTGAGCGCCAGGTATTATCTGTACATTCTCCATCCCTCCCAGCTCCCCCCTCACCGTGTGATAATTGTCTTCATCTGCTCGTCCTTCTCCTCCTGCTGCCTCCTCATCTTCTCCTCCGACTCAACCAGACGCGACTGCCACTCGTCCAGCAGCTGGTGTGTGTCCTCCTCGTGGTCCAGCAGACGCAGCTCGGCGTGTTGCAGACGCTCCTGGGCCTCTAGCAGTTGCTGACGCAGGACATGAACTTCCTGTTCGTACTGCCGGGGAGGAGAAAGGGGTAGGGGCGGGGGGAGAGGATGAAATAACAACAGATGAGATAATAATACAGAATAAAAGATAGCATTTGTACAGCGCAAGTTCCCACTCAACAGTAAGCTCTCTTGCGCTATACAATCTATATTATTGCCCCCGCAGACAATTCTGAAACAATCTCAACTTCCTGCGAAAGCATACAGTGCAAGAAACGTCATACTTCATCAGATCGTCAAATAAAACAAAGGATGAGAATTGAGATACGTGAAAATTCATCATAGTGCCGGGTGGGAGGGGGGAATGAGATACGTCATTTTTCATTATATTATCTATATTATCGTCAAGGGGAAAATAAAACAATGGGTGAGATGCCTTATTGCTCTTCCATCGTGAAGGGTGAGAACAAAGAACAAGGGATGAGATCCGTCATATTTCATCATATCATTGCCCCAGCTAACCCCCAGCACAGGGAATTTCAGAAGAAGCGAAAAACTTGTTTTGTTTCAACACTCAGCAAACTGGCAGACGGTGGGTTGTTTGGCTCCTATTCTAATGTTTTGGAAGTATTTCTAGTCAAAATTCCTACCTCTCTTTCCCAGAGAATATGAAAAGGATAATCTAAACTTGCGTCATCAAATAAGATTTAAAACAGATATTTTGTAGGTTATCCAGTCTTATGACACAGGTGATGATACGGCAGTTGTCATTTAGTTACATGAAGTGCTGAGAATAAGCAAGACATTATGCCAAAGTAAAATGAAATGCATGACAAACACAAATGAAAAAGTTATTTGAAGAACTTAAAACACTTTCAACTAGATCGCTATCCCATTCCCCC